TCAGCTGTCACATTAGGTCATATTGACGTGACATCCATGAAGACTCATTTGGACAATTCATCTAGCATTGGAACTGGAACTGGGAATCAGTTCAAATATAAAGAGTGTCCAAGTCGGAAAATACGGCTAAAGGCATTTGATTAAATTTTTATTCATAATTTATTTATAATTTGTTTACATTACAAGAATAAAACTTACCAAGATTACTTGAAGATTTTCCTTAAATTTGTTACTCAAAATTGTTACTCAAATTTGTTCAAGTTGTTAAACCGAAGTTGCTAATAAAATAATAGAAAAAAAAACAATCCAAAATTTCCATATAGGTCAAACACTAACATTTACGGAATGCCAAAATGCAAGCGAATCTAGAAAATATGTGGAAGCACAGACGACAAAAGTTAATGAAAAATATCAAATATTGAGCCTACACAATTACTCGGATTTGTCTTGCTGCTATTACACAAGGGAGTATGCGCCAACTTCACAATATTACAATTAATAACAATCGTGTAAAATCATTCTTGGATTTCCATTAATGTCAATGGTTCTAAGATCCTTACTTGGAAATAACAAACACGAGCGTAGTTCACAGCCACTTCCTCGACTTAATAATTCGAATACTTAATACTTCAAGAATGCCTTTAAAAATTTTAAAGGTTTAAAGGCGCCCATAAATTATTTTTATTATCATTAGAGCCCACTCCATACATTATCTCAGAAGGCTTTACAACTTATACATATATATACATCACAGAAAACATAGTAATCAGTAGGCTTTACAATTTATACATATACATCACAGAAAACATAGTAATCAGTAGGCTTTACAATTTATACATATACATCACAGAAAACATAGTAATCAGTAGGCTTTACAATTTATACATATACATCACAGAAAACATAGTAATCAGTAGGCTTTACAATTTATATATATACATCACAGAAAACATAGTAATCAGTAGGCTTTACAATTTATATATATACATCACAGAAAACATAGTAATCAGTAGGCTTTACAATTTATATATATACATCACAGAAAACATAGTAATCAGTAGGCTTTACAATTTATACATATACATCACAGAAAACATAGTAATCAGTAGGCTTTACAATTTATATATATACATCACAGAAAACATAGTAATCAGTAGGCTTTACAATTTATACACATATATACATCACAGAAAACATAAAAAGTACTATAATGTCATACATTTAAAGGTTTGAATTAAAGCATTGCCTTAAAAGAAACGTTTTGTATAAATCAATTGCTCAAAGATCTCGAGGCAGAATATACCAAAGCTTGGGCTCACCAACTGCCAAACTTTAGCATAATCTGGAAAATGGCGTTCCTATCTCGCGGTTGGTGGTTCGAGCCACAATAATTACTCAAGTAAATCTGTACATATTTCCGCTACATCGGCTTGTATGTAACGCAAATACAGCATTAAATACAGCATCGTAGCTTTCTATTAGCTATTAAAATAATTTAGAAAAAATGATGATAGATCTGACCCAAATAAGCACTCCTCTTAAATAACGTATATAAAAGCTATATGGATAATTATTTTATAAACTTTA